TAGGGGATAATGGAAAAGAAAATTGAAACTACTATAATGGGGCTAAATAAGGTTTAGAGGTTAGGCCCCGTGGCACTTGAGAGTGTCTCTTTTTCATGGACACTTTTTTCGGCGCTGTCCCCCATTATATGATGTTAGGTAGACCAGAGACAACAAGGAGGCCCTACCTCTGGGTACATGCGTTATGATTCTGGGATCCCGGCGTAGCTCTAGGACGCAAAGTCCCCGTGCACAAGCCAGCGATCGCCCAAAGGTATCCTCCTCGACCTGCATCTGAATCAAGTGATGGAAAGTTTTGCGTTTAGGCTTTGGGGGTACCCGTGTGTAGGGTTTGGAGCAGTTCTTAAAAGGGGTGGTACTCTAGGGAGCCTAGGCAAACATGGGGAGCATGAGCACCTTGGGAGCCCCTGCTCGGGATTGGACAGGGTGAGATGGCACAACTGCATGATTTGCTCTCGGGCCCCCAATTTTGAGAAACTCCCACTTGACTCGGACTCCGATTCCATTGCACTGAAAAACTCCAACTCTGAACTGGGGATTTAAGCTTTTAACGGGTTTGGAAGGGGTTTAGCCCACCACCTTGCCATGGGTGTCGTAGAGATCGTATGCATCCGGATGCAGGGACAGCACTTCCTCCGCCTGGCTTGCACACATGCTAGTGACTGCTGGTGCTAGACTTCCACCACAACGAAGCAGAGAGGGAATAGCAATAGCAGTAGAGGGCGGTGCCGGCGGCGGGGAAGGTGTTGTGAGTATGGTGACATCACTGGCTGCACAGGGCAGAAGACGCAGCAAGTAGCCTTTACACGAGGAGTTCCGGGCAACCTGCCTGTCGGCGAACACCATCATAGCCGGCACCAGTCAGCACCTCCATCCGACGTTGGCCATATGCGAGGAAGAGGGATGCCTCAGGAAAGTCAAGCAATAGTACACATGGTTAGCCATACTACTAGGAAGATTAATAACAATATGAATAATACTACTATCTAGCAGTTGCTAATCTGTTCCTTTCTCAAGTCACTTGCTGCTGACTTGCTGCTGTCGCTGTCAAGCTTTGGCTCGTTGACATAACGCATAACTTTCAAAAGCAGTTTTCATAATCCTCCTTGAGCCGTCCCTAGATCAGCAAAGCAGCCTAGGTAGGCCCTTTGCGAAGGACGTCAGCTTTAGTATGGCCACATTTTGGGCTTCCATGTTAGTGGGGGCAATCTAAACCCTAGAAATATACCCCCCATACAGATGAATCCCCAGCCCTAGCCTAACCCTTAACCCTAAGCCCATCATTGTACCTTGCTCTGTCTTTCTACAGTCAGGTGGCAGGGATCGTATGTGCCATGGCAGCGGCGGCGCCCTAGCCCTGGCTGCCTCTCTCCCTCGAGTACGCAATCTGCGGAACATCCAAGGTTGTTGGATTCAGGGTTGGGGATTAGGGTTTAGGGGCTTAGGGTTTAGGATTTATTGCGGACATCTCAGCGTGCATCACACCTGCTCTTCATTCATGGCAGTTGCGCATGGCAGTTGCGCAAAACAGACATGGCAATGAATCAGCAAGACATGGTGCGAAGCCCTTATCCCGAAGGCCTTGCTAAGCTGATGCATGCTTCAAAAATTACCAGGAATAGACTTTATTATAGTATATTCTAGTGTACTTAGTATACTATAGTATCTTAAAACCTATTTTAGTACATTATAATATTTCGGGACCTTCCATTTCAATGCCACCATGAGAGTCTACCGCTGCAATTCGGGTTGACGAGGCAGCTGGCTACTCCCCTCAATGTATGCATCTTGGGAAGTAGTTAGTAGTTGCCTATGGAGGACTCCACCTTGCGTTAACCCAAAGCATGTCAAGATCTATACATGAGTAGCGTGTTTTTGGGTGGTTGAACCCAGTAAGATACTATTCCTTCTATAAGATACTATACCCCCAAAGGAGGATATAATCTTCTCTCTATATTGGGTATCATAGTGTCCCCAAATAAAAATCCTACTCACATGACCCCTTTCAGGGTATCCTAGCTTCTGCGAAGCCACAAAACTGCCCGGCTGACCGCGAAGCGCCCAGTACAGTCTCTTTCCTGCGATGGTGTTTGGAGAACCAGGACGAGGGTTGGTAAATCAGGGTTTGGGACTCCAGCGCAGTTCTACATCAGAATCCAATTGAAGGCTCCTAAGCCGGCATTTTCTCTTTTGCATTCTCCATGTTCAGAGCAGCTGGACTCAGTGTGTGGGAGCCCATAAGCAAGTCCTTTGCAATAATGTAGACGCCGTGCCACATGCTCTAAATTTATGGAATTCTTGTACTTCAAAACCTTTTTTCATCAAGGACATCCTAGCACAGACCGTGTAGCTTGCCCCTGCGCGGCCCTACTACACTCCCCAATAAGAGGAGCACTTACATAGGAAGCTTCCCAGAAGGAGAACACCATCTTGCAACTTACACCTGACACTAAAAAATCCATTGCCGTAGAGCGCTCTTGTTGACGCCTAAACTGACGGCGGACAACGAGATTGCACAGCTCACTCCAGATGCTAAGAAGCCGATTCCCCCTACAAGCCCTCTTGAAAGGCCAGTATGTCATGATGGAGCACATGTATCCTAGCCCATTCAGGCTAACATATTATGACGGAATGCATGCAACACCAGCCCTTTACATCATGGCCCAGTACATATGGTAGTTTCCCAAAATAGGGGGACCCCAATATAGACCCCAAAATACTATAGTCCTTATTATTGGGACCCCTAAAAGGGTACCCCTAATTTTGGGAAATCCCCATATAGTAGCTACACATCCTACAGCCTAAACCCCCATGATGGTGCCTCATCCGACGCCTTGATCTCCAAAGCGCAGGGGTGGAGGGACCATCTGAGCATCAAACTCTTATACAGGGGTATATAGGGTTATGTATAGGGTTCTATAGGGTTATCTAGGGTTATATAGGGTTATATGGGGTACGGGAATTTAAAGGTTTAAGGTCTAGGGGTGTGTAGGGAAATGGCAAAGGAAATGGACACGACTACGTATAATGATCGAGAATCAAACGGAAACGAACATGGAAGATGAAATGGAAGCTGGGGATACCCTGGGTCATCTATCGGTGGGCTTGAGGTGTATGAAGTAGGCTGGAAAGCTCAGTAGCAGCAGTGATGGTACTAGTGGCCATCCTTAGGAGTAGCGAGTGCAAGAGGAAGTTGTAGCAACTACAAGCGATCATCGCCTCCATTTTCCGCTCCATTGAAGAGAAAACGGAACCGTCTACTTTCTAGCAGCCGTGCGCTGCCTGAATTCCTTAACGATCTCCGTCTTATCTCACTACATGTTTAAGCCTGACCGGCACATGATTCCAGCTTATCTCCTAAAACCCGTGTGTCTGTGTGTGCCTAAGTATGTACATTGTATGTGATATGCGTGGAATAGCCGTTCATATTCTAGCTCCGCTGTCCACATACACCTGCAGTATCCTCTTGGATCAGTTGCTGCAGGCCTTGTTGCGCATCGGTCCCCGCTGGCACCTGGCGGCCATGCTTGAGAACCTAACTTCTACCAAGAACTAAGCGCTGGTAAGGACGACTAGAAGGATCTAACCAAAGGCCAGTCACATATATATACATATATATGTATTGGGGTTATATAGGGATAATGGAAAAGAAAATGGAAACTACTCTATTACTATAATTGGTTTTGTAAGGACTACTAGAAGGATCTAACCAAAGGCCAGTCACAGCTGAGTCAGCCGCGAATTTCAAGTCTGGCACGTGCCCGATAAGCAGCCGGCGCGCTACTGCAGCGGCCAAGGCCTGGATGAGTGGGACCACCATCGCTCCGGGGACTTGGGTTTAGGGTTTAGGGCAACAGCTACAGTCTAAACTTTTGAAGGGTTATATAGGACTATTTAGGCTTTTCGGTCTAGGATTTAGGACAACAATGCAGAAACAACAGCGTCCCCACAGCTGTGCACAAGCCTATTCCTGAAAGTTCCACATAAATGTTAAATCCTACATGTATAGTCCCCCTTAAGTACATAGCCTTTGGTTTTGGGTATATTATGATAGGATCCCCATATATCCCATATTCTATCTCCTTAATGTGACTATAAGCCCAAGTCAGCACCATCAGTACCCGGTGGAATCCTCCATGCCCCTTGGCAGTCTGCGAGCTGATTCCAACTGATTACAAGGGAATGAACAATGAAAGCGGAATCTATTTTTTGGGGATTTTGGGTCTTTAGA